GTGTCTAATAGCTCATTGTGATTGTACCCACACAAGAACAGCCACTTGTTCCATACCGGAATGCTTTGTTACTTAAACCCTATGAACCTTTTTCTTCTTAAATAGTACATTTTACAGCAAAAAAAAAAAGCCACAGGTGAGTCACACTTTCCTTCATATATTCAATTGTGTGTCTTGCTTGCATATGCAGAGGTCCGAATTCTGCAATCAGTGTAGGATTTGTGGATCTCCACACAAGAACTCAAGCAAACCTATTCATTTTTCTAGTGAGTGAATAAACTATAAGACGTTCCTTCAATCCAGAGCTGTGCCTACAGTACTTTTCCATGGCAAGATGCAATCATTTGTCACCTTCAAGCATCATTCAAGCCATGTCTCCTAAGGCCAGGCAGTTATGAACGCACCTGCAGCCTGTGACTGGGCAATGAAAGGAGTAGCAGCACGGTGATTTGTATCTCTGTGTTCTCCTACCAGCATGATTCTTAGCTCTCATCAGGATAAATAGATTGGCTTTGTGTGCTACTTCTTCCTCTCCCACTCAGCCCTGCTGTACATGGACTGTAGAGGTTCATACCAATTCAGGTACTTAAATTGCTTGCATTGGGGGGAAAAAAAAATCCATTCAACTAGGTGATAATGAAAACATCGGTACATTAATGCGTGCCTTTCATATCTGCCCCAAGTTCAGCTTTAATGGTGTTCTGTAGGGAATACCCACAAAACCTGCACTGTTGGTAGACTTGTTTAGCTATCTAAATTCACAAACACGTTAAGAATTTCTGTATAGGGATGTGAGACATTTCAAATCTGTCACCAATAAACCTCATTTAGTGAAGTGGCATATGCACCCAATGAGCTTTTCAGAATTCTACAAACTCTCATGCACATCTTCTGCTTGAGTAATGACTGACCAATTGGTGAATAAAGGCTTTTGCTGTAACAGGTTTATTATTGTTCTGAGATAACTACCATTGAAGTAAAACAACAAGTAAGTAGCGGTCAAGGAGTATAAATGCAGATAAAATAGTGCATGTCCCTACAAAAGGGAGATCTTCAGTCTAAACAGGAGTATTACTGACCTGAGGCCAAGGGAAAATGTTCTCATGACACCTCTACCCCAGTCTGCCTGCTTTCTTTACACAGTGGTGTATGTGCTTTGCTGTAATATGTGACCTCTGGCTTTCACTAAAGACAACTTATATTTCCAGAAATGCAGGGCATGCCATTACTCACATTCTTCTGAAAGTGCTAGTTCCCGTCTGGTATGCCAATCCAAAGGCATCAATAGTTTGGGGGTGATTTACTAACCTAAACACACGCACCAGGTGCGTGTGATTTTCACACAGCAAACCAAAAAGTCTCTAAAAGCATATTTCCACTAATGCCATATATGGAAAAATCATGCACATGATGCATATATAATGCTGCTTCACAGTTTAGACAAAAATGGTTAGCTCATGCATTTACATTCCTGCATTCATCAACGCAAGCAACACAACATAGAGCTAATTTACACAACATCACCTTGCAATTCATGCAGGGCTTTGTACAACACACCTGCTGGGTGTGTACACACTACAAAAGGTGTTTAGATTCCACCCATAGATCATGCTGGGAGGGAACACACTACAGAGGTGTATACATGTTCACGGTGTGTTTATAAGGTTAGTAAATCAACCCCTTTGAGTCAATGAGCCAGTAGATTAGCACAGTCTGCCCCAGAAAGCTAGTGTATTATCAGAGGCTGCCAGCAGAAATCATGCAGGCGGTGCTGGGCTTTCTTTTTAGAAAGCCTAGCATGCTTTTTAGGCTTTTTTCATGAATGTGCACTGTTCTTTATTTTACAAATAAACCTTTGTTAGGAAGCAAAGAAATATCAGAAATATCAAACAGTTGATAAACTTGTAAACTTTCACAAATGTAAAACACAGTAAAGTAGACACCTTTATCTCTTTACGAGTGTTTTTATTTGTAAAAAAAAACAAAAACTGGAGATCTAAAATTAATCTCTGCAGAGAACAAATGTCCCAACTTCAATGCAGCATAAAACTACTGAGAGTTACATCCTCATGATCCATCTTCAGGCTAGAAGAGCCAGTTGTAGTGTAGAGTCCTTGGGGACCTAAGAGTGCTTGCAGCAGCTGGTAGAAGAGAACATCTTTACTCAAACTTTTAAAGGGGGGTGGGGGGGTCGCGCCTCCCCCCCACAGACGCTGCCTTTTACATTTACTTTGAGGTTGCTTTATCTGTTAACCGTTACATTTTAAGTGCTCATGTTTAACTAGCTTGGGGATATAAAAAAAAACAAAAACATGACAGTTACATTATTCAAAAGGTGATGCAAGCAGCAAAGTGATAGACGCCAGCATTGGGTATAGCGGTCGACATATTTCCTGGGACACGCCCCTTTCATCAGGTTCTGAAAGGTGTGTGCCCCAGGTAACGTGTCAACCACCATACCCACAGCTAATGCCGGCTTCTATCAACTCAGTTTAAATGAATAATCCAGATGAACTTCCTCGGTCTATCGCTCTATTTTGGAATCTATTGACAAGCTTTACATGCCGCTATGTTTGTGAGTAGCTTTTCTGTTTTTTAAAACTATTTAATACATCAGTAATACACAGGGTGGGCACTTTGTCTTTTTGCATGTTTGGACAAGAGCTTTCTGATCTGAGGAGGAGCAGCACACCTGGATCAGTCTAATTGACAAGTGGAAAAGTTGTTTGCGGTCAGTGCCAGAGGAACTTTGATTGCATTTGTTTACTAAAGGAAGATCAATAAATATGAACTCCAATTAGTTGGTAGGTGCACAGCGCATTTGGCTCCTTCCACAGATTTCTTGAATAAACCCCAAACCATCTGCTGTTGTAATTCTTTGTAATAAAAATGCAAACCAAAAAAAAAAGGAAACAAAACAAGAAATTGTAATGAAACACACGATTGCTTCTTTTTTATTTGAAAGTAAATTATTCCAGTTTGACTGCATCTTTTCACATGACATTTCCTCAATAAACATCTTAAAAGAAGTGTGTATTTTGTTTTAAGCTATACCAAAAAAAATCTACCCCGGACAGCTAAGTCTAAATCACCCATCATTGGCTGTCAAACTTGACGGACATACAATTTTAAATGTGTGCCATTCAAATAATTTGATTAGAAACAAAACATGACACTTAACATAAAACCTTAATTAAATTTTATTGTTTTCTATTTTCAATCCAATATACAGATTGCCAGCATGTTGTAATGGCATTAGAGCTGCATACAAATGCTTCACAGCAATGCAGCTTTTATGGTATGTAAAAATATCACAAGCTTGAAAAACAAAATATATATTAAAAAAAAAAAAAACTAGAAGAAATGATTGCATTCTTTTTTTCTTTTTCTGAGAAATTGCCATGTCTAACCTCTTTATGTTTCCATCTCACTATAAAACATACATCCTAAACACAGGATAGTCCAGTATTTGTGGTAGTACAACTCTGCTTGAAATATATTCAAAATGAACATAAAATATTAACCCAGAAATAAAACAAAAGAAAAAACCGTCAAGCTATGAAAAGTTCAAGTCTGCATAATGTCTAAAGCCACAGAAGGATCACCCAAAATGTTCAACCCAATGTACATTTTAGTGCATTACATTGACAGAATTGTCAATTTTAGTCTTGGAAACAAAACTGCACTACAGAAAAAAAGTGTTAAAAAATAGGTGAATTCAAAAATACCATTCTAGCTCGAATACCCTCAATATAATCTCAGACTTAGTCAGAAAAAGTGGACGTCTGTATACTTGTCAACTTTTAAAGTGTGTAAACATTTAAACATTATAAGCGGTTTGCTCCAAAAGAATATTGTACATAAACATTCAACATAATCAGCATTTTCTCTCCCTTCTTCCCTCACTGTGTAATCAGTTACAGCTGCTAGATGTATAAAATAATATAATGTAATACTATCAAAGCATAGGGGGAACACTGCTTTGTAGTATTTAAGTGGACTTGCCATCTACACAGGGGGAGGTCATGTGATTTGCGGCCATACACACTGGGACATAAGATGTTAAACTTTATATCGATGGTCGGAGTTCCATATTTAATTACAATACCAAATGTCTATAATAAATTGCCAGGGAAAAAAAAAACCCGATACTGGCATTTATCACATGTGGGAGATTTTAAATTAAATGACTTAAGAACTTTGTGGCCAAAAGTATCTATAGTCACAGGGGAGAGCCAAGTGGCTTGCGACAGCATATACTTAAAGTCCAGCCCTGAAAAGCAGCAGCTACTTTGTAGTCTAAAGCAAAAATGAAAGATTTGATATAGATCCTACCAATTCATTAGGAACATCGGTGAGGCACTTGGTGACTTTTGCCTCAAGGATATCACTAGGATTCTAGAACACTGACAGACTGCACAAAATGGCTACCACTTCAATGTGAAATCTTTCGTAGGTTAGGCCCTTTCAGAAAAAATAATGAAGCAATGTTATACCTGCCTTAGCTGTATAACCTCTGCCTAGACAGAGTTTTGATTTACTGATTTACTTGTCCCCATATAAAAAAAATAGATGAAAAGTTAGAGCATACACCCACGTCCCTGACAACTAGATTTAAAAAAAACCAAACAAAACAAAAAAAAAAACTGACATTCTTTGTGCGTCGTTCATTGTTTCCAACTGAAGAAAAAAAAAACAGCTACAGGGAACAAAATATGACTTTATTCAAGAACTCATGCTTATTATCGTGTTATGATACAAGTCACAGGCAGAAAAGTGGGCCGCTCTCAGATGCCACAAAGTACATCTATGCAGACTCCTCTGAGTGTTGCAAAGAAAATGCAGCTCAAGGGTTTCAGGTTTCATTTTATTATTGTAATATAAAAAAGGAAAAAAAAAAAAATTGACAAGTATGCATGTGCCAAAAACCAAATCAGAGGGCTCTTTGGTGCGATCAGTCCAAATTGTCAAAGGATTCGAAAATCATATTTACCAAAAAGAAAGAAAGAAAAAAAACTGCTGTTATTTGTGGACAACAGCACTGTCTGTCTGGCTTCACATTACAAATCTAAAACAGCTGTTCTTAATAAGCCAATAAATATATAATTTGTAATCAGACATTGCCTGAAAATTTTGTACAATATCCTGGACCAAAGATGGTTCTGTACTCTCATGTCACTGATAAACATGAGTTCGTCTAAAGGCAAAGACTGGTTATCTCGAGGACCTGGTCCTTTGAGATGGGATGGTTTAAACCGTCTTCTTGCTGGATTTCTTGCCTTTCTTCAGAGTCAGTTTGTTCTTAATGTAGCCACGCTTCCTCTTTGATGTCTAGAAACAGGCAAGAAGGAAAAGGAAAAACCAAGGTAAATTTGCAATTCATATTTTTAGGTGGTGATGTAACTATCACTTTCAAGTAGATCTATAACAAGTTTAGTGATTTTATTCAATTTTTGGAACCAGTAGGATTTGGGTAAAATCCATCATTTTTTCTTTGCGCTGCTCGTGTTCCCTTCACTTTCTGTCACAGATACAACAGAAGTGAGGAAACCTCCCCAGTAAGTGAGGAGCAATCCAGTCACAGTGGACACTGGAACAGGTGTATTCTTCCAAAGATTTCCTCTCTATAGCGAAATCCCAAATTGGTCACCAGGACAAATGAAGTGTCCCAACTGGGGAGATTCACCCTCCTTTGCACTTTAACAAAAACATTTTAGCTTCAGGAGACACTTTAAATGTGGTTTCTATTAGTAGAAAAAATATCAACGATTCTAACTCCAACTCCTCCTCATACCATACCACCTGGTAAGCAGGAAAATGCCTCTATACATTGGCTTAGAGGGCTGTATCCGCTTAATATTCATGAACAACAAGTCCATAAAGCACGAATGTCACACAAAACCAAATGGGTCTGCCTGAAATATAAAAAAACCCATTGAATCTGTATCTTTTTAAAGCTTATCTTTAAATCCTTCGCTAAAACAGTGAATTGTGTGGAGCTGCTTTTGTGCTCAGCCCAAAGTCTTTGAGATTACTAGATCATGAAGACAGTGAAACCTTATATACATCCTCAGATTATTAACAACCTCATGTTCTTTGTTCCTAGAGGATGCTGATAAATATCAACTCAACTATCTGATGACAGTTATGCGATTTACCAAAGGACCCGGAAAATGTCTTGTTTTATGGACCTGAAATTCTAGGTCAATGTGGGTTTTTGTTTTATATATCTCACCAGTCTAAGGAAATCCTCTGGCCACACAGCATTACAAATATTACTGATGGGAACTGCAATAGTGCATCCAGTTTTAAAGGAATATCGTAACTGCAGTAGTTTAAAGGTTGGTACCAAAATGTGGGACATTAAAGTGACACTAAACTCATGAGTTAAATCTTAAAAATGCATTCAGGCACCCTAACTATTAACAAAAATGTATCTTATTTGTGTATCATTCGGCTGTAGATCCTCAAATCAATTCTGAATTGGAGCCAACACTGTCCTTCCTTCTGGAGGGGGGCTACTTTTCTTCCCCATGGTCCCTGTGTGTGTTGCAAAGTAGCCACCATTCCAAGATCACTCCCATGATGGACTACAATCTCAATACAAATTAGTAAACTAAACGTTAGATTGTAGTACATCACAGAAGCAAGCTTGGAGAGGTGGCTACTTTACAACACATAGAGGATCATGGGGAACAAAATATGCACAGACATTATATATAATGTTATCCTCTGTGGTTTCCTTACAGTCTTTAGAATGGGACCCTTCGTCACTGCAATGAATGTCAAAACATCTGAGAGTACGTGATATATAAATATACAGTATATATTTATATATATTCATCAAGTTGCATTCAAGGCTGTACAAAGACAAAATATTAAATAAAATCTTATGATAGCTGTTCCATGGAGTGTCATGCCATCACTACACAGAAGAAAACAGACATGCACATGAGTATCTAAAAGATAACAAGCTGTACTTGGAGTAAATGGAATAAAAGTAATCAATGAGCTATCCTAGAATTGTGTGTGCATAATTTTAGCTATAATTCTGGACAGAGGAGCAAACCAACTACAGAAAGCACAGGTCAACCGAATAAGGGGACATGCCATTCAAATATGTAACATGCTTCCCTCTGCAGAAAAGCAGTGCAAGCAGGTATCAGGAAGGGAAGAGTTCATTTTTTGGAGAACAGATAGACAGCGGTACCATTTGGAGAAGAACTTATAATGGTGTTTCCGGGGTTTCAAGGAGGCGGACATCTTGTGGGTAAAAACAAACTTACCCCAATCGAAGTTCCCCTGCTTTTTTTTTTTGCTATCTGGAGCTTTGTGCACTGAAGTCCTCCATAAAAACTTGCACTAGCATAGCCCCATACTCCTTGTATTAGCATTGCATCTGAACTAGACTGATTTATTACATTTTTGTTCTCTTCATAATCACCAAACCGCTTTAAACTTTCTTTGGAGGACGGTCTTTAACATGAACGTTCTGTTTTGCCTATTCATATTTAATGTTGATGTAGTTTAATTTTATATTTCATTGTGAATACATGATGGGAAAAAAAAAGGTTGGCGTTTGGTTCGCCATAATATTATGTATTGCACGTGCATATTCAGTGTTTACCATTTTCCATAAACCTCCTTTGGCAGTATATGAGGGTCACTGGGTGTTTTCACATTTAATAAAGCTGCAATGTCATACTGGATTTTTACGATATTCATTACCTGGAACATTAGTATTAGCATTGTAAATACATTTTTCTCCATTTGATTATAAATTGGTAATAAGTACAAACTATATTACCGTATATACTCGAGTATAAGCCGTCCCGAATATAAGCCGAGGTACCTAATTTTACCACAAAAAACTGGGAAAAAGTATTGACCCGAATATAAGCCTAGGGTGGGAAATGAGGCAGCTACTGGTAGATAGATACCAATAAAATGACATTAATATTTATTTAAAAGAAAAATAACCTAGCTCTGTAAGTGGAAAAGGGGGTACAGGGCTACATATCATGTACTACGGATCATTTAACCCATTCATATTAGCAGAGGATAATTGTAAATCTATTGTTCAGTGCACTCTATATGTAGTATATAGTACATGTACATATAGAGTGCCTGCAACAATACATTTACAATGATCCTCTGCTAACATGAATGGGTTAAATGATCCATAGTACAGGGCTACATACAGATCATTTAATACATTCATGTTAGTATAATTGTAAATGTATTGTCTGCACTGTATTAGCAGTATATACTCTATATAGAGTATATACTGCTAATACAGTGCAGACAATACATTTACAATTATACTAACATGAATGTATTAAATGATCTGTATGTAGCCCTGTACTATGGATCATTTAACCCATTCATGTTAGCAGAGGATCATTGTAAATGTATTGTTGCAGGCACTCTATATGTACATGTACTATATACTACATATAGAGTGCACTGAACAATAGATTTACAATTATCCTCTGCTAATATGAATGGGTTAAATGATCCGTAGTACATGATATGTAGCCCTGTACCCCCTTTTCCACTTACAGAGCTAGGTTATTTTTCTTTTAAATAAATATTAATGTCATTTTATTGGTATCTATCTACCAGTAGCTGCCTCATTTCCCACCCTAGGCTTATATTCGGGTCAATACTTTTTCCCAGTTTTTTGTGGTAAAATTAGGTACCTCGGCTTATATTCGGGACGGCTTATACTCGAGTATATACGGTATACATAAAGGTTCACTTTAGTCAATGCGCACAGAACCTACCTTCTTGGATAAATATTTCTGTTTAGGTACAAGGTTTGTCACTCTTGGTTTGTGGTCCAGTGCCTCTCTGTTGTCTAATGGTTTCACTTTGTATATTCTGACAAGCCAGTGTTCTGATGTAAAAGCCTCTTCCAGATGTTTGAACTTGATATCTTTATTCCCAATCTCAGCATTACGAGTACGATCAAAACCTGGCGGGGTTCGGAAATCTAACTGGAAAACAGAAAAAATAAAAGTCAGTGTCCAAGGATTATCCCGCTCTGGACTTGTATAAGCAATCATTTAAAATGATGTCAAAAAGGTTAAAGAGGACTATGATGTGAGTGCTTTTCATTCACCTCATAGTTCTAGCCGACCTGTGACAATGAGACTGTCACAGGTCGGCTCAGTAGATCGGGAGGTGAGCGAACACAAACCAGCGTTCGCTCACTTCTCGATCCTGTCACAGCTCTCTGCCGGGACAGGGGAGTGGCTGGATTCCCCCCTCCCCGCTCCGATCCTCCAGCGCTGACTGGTGGAATGGACGGGGGAGGGGGCGGGTACAGCTGGCTCTGCCTCTAGACAGGCAGAGCCAGCTGTCACTCACACAGCTGGGCGGATCCAGACAATTGTCGGGATCCAATTCAGCTGCGGCGTCTCAGTATACCACAAGCTGTAGCTCGCGGTATACTGAGCTTAGGGTGACGGGAGGACGATAGTTTGTGTCCTCCCATTACCCTAAGGAGAACTATGGGGAAAAGCCCTGACCCCATAGTTCTCCTTTAAATACACTGGTATCAGCCTTGAGTATAGCAAGTGTTATTCAATACAAGTATATGCTTTGTATTAATCTTTGAAGACACAAAACAGCAGTCTAGGTCAAAATATATATCAAACCTTAAATGCTTTTAAAAAGGAAAACTAAAATAAATTTGGATCATTGCTTTATGAAAGTTTGTAAATTCTTAATGGTGATTCATACTGTTGCAGTGTATTGCAGCACCCATCTTCATGTTGCGCTTTACATGCTCTGTGGCAAGGCGGCTGTTAACACCCAATACAACAGGTTAAAATACCTAAATCTACACTTTTTCCAATGCAGCACACCAGAATGGTTCAGAAGCTGAAAAAAATAAAGTGTGGTGAGATCTCTGGCTAGCTGATATTTGAGTTGAGCCATTGAGGTTAGAGACACGGGATTCTGCTCTGCACAGAATTTGCGGTGTGAAGGATAATTAGTGCTAAATTTCATACTTACTTGCATTTCCCCAAATCGATAATATGACATTTTATACATGAGGCAATTCAGCAGAGTTGGAGATCCAGCCTTGTCAACTCGAAATTCTCCCTGGGGTGTGAAATAATCACTTTCCTAGAAGTAAAAAAAAAAAGTAAATCCAGATGAAAGTGGATGCCTTTAACACAAATACCTTTATAAACGTTGCATAGATCAGATTGAAACACTGAACTGTATTCTGTTAAGCATTACAATTTTATTTGACACCCCCCCCCCTTTTCTCCCCAAAGATAAAAAACCAAGTTGCACTCTTTGGCTTACTTCAGAGTAAACAGGAATACGTGGGGGTACAAGCTATTGAAATAATGATCATCTGTTGGTGAACTACAGTTAACCCTTTCACTGCCAGAGCCCCCCCCATTTTGTGGACACATGCTTATGTGCTCGCTCATGTGCTCATTTTGTACACGTTAATGAATTTAAGACCCCTAAAAATCATACATTTTCTGAAAGCAGAGGAACCATACACTCAAATGATGATTCTCACACAATATTTGCGCAACGGTTTATCAAACCTATATTTTATGTAAAAAATACACCCAGATCAAATTTTAATGCACACAAACAATAAAATCCCTGGAAGTATCCCTCTCACTCCAGAATGTGCTGCAATATTAATTCGTGTTGCGCGGTCATTTACATGCAAACGTGTGTTTGCTCTCAAATGTGCGTGTGCAGGGTGGGCTTTTATGTATTTACTTTTTTATTATTTTAGTTCATAACACTTTGTCACAAAAGGAGCTTATCAGTCAAAAAAAATGTTTGGGGGTTTTTTTTTTGGCGACAGATCCTCTTTATGGAGGCATTAGGGGTCTGTTCGAAAGAGTACAAACTGTACTCATTTTGTTATCCCAGCCAGAGCAGCCAGGATCTGGCAGCCCTAAACCCTGAAAAGTTCAGTGGTGAGTGATTCCAGGTTGTGCCTCACAGGGAAGATAGGGGAATGGAGGTTTCTCCATCTCCTCTCCACATCCTAGAGGCTGCAGTGGATGTAGGGCACGTGTGCGGTTGGAGCCGGCTGTTGGAGGCCCAGGTTTGTTTACATGTAGGCGTAATTGGGGCGGCTTTACAGCCATCCTAATCACTTCTACTAGAGAGCGCAAAGCCTACACTTCAAAATGTAGTCAAACCCGGGGAATGCTATACTTACATATACTTAATACTTGTAGCAGCAGCAGAAGGGTAAATTGTAAAAAGAACCATCATACCAATGATGGATCCTATATACCTAAGGTTGTGTTAGAGATGTCTGGACATTAATGTGCAGCAAAACAATACAGCTTTTGAGCTACTGGACACAAACTCTAAAAAAAAACTAATCCAGCAACTCCTACCCTAAAGGACGAATTACCATACAAGGACAGGCAGAACTCTTTCTTTTCTAATGGGCATGTATACGGAATGTTTTCTTACCCTGATGTCTTTTGGATGTTCTCCTTCTGCTATCCTAACCATCCAGAGAAATTTATTGATGTCATCGCCAGAGTAGCCAATTACACCTCCAAAAATAATCAATACATAATCTACATCCAAGCTTCTCATGATTTCATAGGCGGCAGATTCATTTGAAGACATTGCTTTTCCGACCTGAAAGAAAAGGCAGATGCAGTATTAGTCGATGGTTGGAAAAGAAACATCTAGGGATACAAAACAGCGAGCCAGTTCACTGAAAGCAAAAAGAAAGCAATTAAGCTATTTATCGCCTCTGAACATGACTCATTCATGCTGCTATGGCAGACAGGAAGCAGCCAGGAATTATGTAATGCTATTCTATCTATACACACACACACACACACACACACACACACAACATATAAAGATGCTATCAATATCAGTATAAAAAGTGCTACAAAACAAATGGATATACATTAAATAAAACTACTGTTTCTACAGAGAGGAAGAAAAGCAAGAGAAGGGGGGAAAGGCGGAAGAGAGAGAAGGGGGGAAAGGCGGAAGAGAGAGAAGGGGGGAAAGGCGGAAGGGAGGAAAGGGGGGGAAGGAGGAAGGAAGGGGCGGAAAGGAGGAAGAGAGAGAAGGGGGGAAAGGAGGAAGAGAGAGAAGGGGGGAAAGGAGGAAGAGAGAGAAGGGGGGAAAGGAGGAAGAGAGAGAAGGGGGAATAGACAGAGCGTAAGAAAATGAAAATAGGAGACTGGGAAAACTTTTTTTTAAAGACAAGTCAGTAGTTACTAAACATTGCTTTGCCAAGCGAACAGTTTCCACTGATGCTAATCAAAGGTTGGACAAAGTTTATTTGCTGGTTCAGTCAGCAGGTGCAATTATGTGATCAATATAGGAGGCCAAACTTCCTGGTGCGCATGGCCCTGGGCCAGTTAGCTCTGTGGCTAGCTAACATAGTACACCAGGTTCTGAAAAGTGGCACAATATAAAGCCCAGTGCCGGAAAGTCATTCCAGAGAGGTCCCACAATCCCCGGTCCAGCAGGATCCAGGTATGGTCTCCAAAGCTATTGCTGAGGAAACACTGAACCAAATAGCTGCTGTACAGAGACTAGCTCAAGCTGCATATTAGACATCTTGATTTAAGAGAAAAAAACAATTTACTGAATACCATGCATGTTGATTAGTAAAAATGTTTTAAAAAATATAGTTAGGAGGTAGGGATGTCCCGATACCGATGCTAGCTTCGGTATCGGGCTTGATACAGGGCATTTTCACAAGTACTTGTGAAAATGCCCCAGAATAAGAGAATACCTGTCACCTCCAAATGCTATCACACAGGGGTTTGTTATCCCATGTGTGATAGCAATAAAGTTTAGTGAAAAAAAATAGTAAAAGTAAAAAATAAATAAAAAAAAGTTTAAAAAAATAACTGATTAAAAATAAAAAGACGATAAAGTAAAAATAATAAAATAAATGAACGGAATCGCACACCACCGCCGATTTCGGCTGGCAGTGCCATTATTTTCTAATGGCACTCCATTCGCGCCAGGCAGATTGCGCGGTCTCCCGCCGCAATACCGCCTGGGCAGTCCCACACGATCATGGTTGAAAACATGAATAGTTTAAATGTTTTATTGTTCTAAAACAGTAATTAAAGTTCTTCAGAATCATAAACAAATTGGCCTAAAATCATTAGTCTATTGTTTTTTTTAAAATGTCACCTGGACCTTTAAGAAAAAGTATCGGTAATTGGTATCGGCAAGTACATGAGGGGAAGTACTTGTACTTGGTCTTAAAAAAAGGGGTATCGGGACATGCCTAGTTAGAGGTTTCATCATAAAAGCATCCAACTTGATGTTTAGTGCAGGGTTTTATGGGGCTGGCTTTGAACATTTTTTTCTGTTTGTCAGTGCCCATCTCCAGTAGGAAACTACATAGAACCCAAATGTCTTAGAATTACTATATTTCGGTGTCCCTCAATGAATGATACAGAAAATTCATTTAGATTACCACAGTGACCTATAAAGATAATTTCCCTGTAGTGTAGAAAGCTCAAATACCTGAGCCCCTTGAGAAACAGATCCAATGTTATTTTAATATAATGGCCCTGTATGGCTACTCTATTCAGTGGTCGGAACACAGTCCAAGTACTGTAAACAAACACTGCACCAGTGATACTGCACCTGATATGTATATATTATTTTTCTAGAAATAACCTCCAGTCTTATTCCCTGCTGTATACTTACACACATTTACTGGGCATAGCATCTTTTTCATTTATTGGGCAATACTTTTACATGTAATAACGTTCTATTACTGGGTCTCACTATTCACAGTTCTTACCAGTGCTATGTGACTGTTATTCCACGTATTATTGTCTACCAGTGTCGTCCGATTAGCCATTCCTGCTATTTGGTAGCCGTAATCCCACCATGACATGACTCGGGCATGCTCATCTGTGTTCTGTCTTAGCCAATAGTAAGCTTCTCTGAAGTCATCCAAGATATTTCGTGTTCTGAAATAAGACTGATGATGTCAAAGCACTGAAATGGAACAATGTTAAAATAAACATTCTTCCTAAAATATTATCAACACCAAATACACCAGTGTTTACAGACTGACACCAGGCAGGGGCAGTCTAAAGAATCTGGGTGATTAAAGCACAAGTCCTAGATGCTTATACAAATCAAATATGAAGAAAACATCATACATCAAGCTAACGGCTTTATTTCTGCAGAAGGTTAGAAAATGCAAGGGGTCACTGACAGTTAATAAGAACAACTGAGACATTCCTTACTGCAACCAGCTTTTATAAAAAGTGTCCAATACTGTGAAAGTTTTGAAGGTCCTCAAGTTTTCATTTGGGCACAGTAAGCTCATTTATGGACCGGAAGTCTAATAAGGTGGCATGGGTGTATTTTGAGAACAAACCCATTAGTGTTTATGAAGTGATAATTCACATGACACTACGTACAACAGAGCATTCAGCTACTAGTCTAGACGTTGTTTGGTCCAGCGCTGGAGGTGCTCTTCAGGGCAGAATGACACTATCGTTCTGCCCATTGCCTGTGAGCCCAGCCGGTCATTAACATGCCCCCCCTAGGGGGCACATCATCATGCTGGCTGGGTTCACAGTTCTCTGACACTCGCATGTCATTTCACACTCTGTGTGAAGCATCGGAAGCCCAGGAGCGGATAGTTTCAGTTAGTGCTGGATGCCAGCTGTCATAGACAGCCACTATTCCAGCCTGCATACCCAAGGGACTTGTGGGAGCTGCCGATTCCCGATGCCATTTTAAACAGCGCTTTGATAAAAAAAAAAAAAAAAAGTTAACCCAGTCCCGTTATAAAAATGACAACTGGAACTCAAGAGGTTAAAGGTTTTCTACCATTAAAGGACAGTGACCACTATTTCTTACCCGTCATGATTGTATGATGCTAGTACCACACTTGGGCTGGAGTAGGCATTGCTAGTTACCCAGGTACAGTGTACGGCAAACATCATCAAGAGCATCAGCATGAGCATGGTGACTATACTCTTAATATTGGGCCCCAGACCTTCCTCTGTCTTCTCCTGCTCAGACACGGGCTTCTTCACTTTACCAGCCTGAAAGGACACAAAAAGAATTAGCTGCAGAGCTGCCAAAGAACTGTGCCAGCAGAAACAGTGCCAATAAGGAAGCAGCATCTGAAAATCTACTAATTATAAATAAAACATGTCAATGTCTTTTTAGGTCAGAGCTTGGGTTTTATTTGATCGATGAGAATAATGCCCAGCTCTAATTCAGCCTGAAAATTTTGAGAAGCAGCACAAATTACATATTTCAAAAAGCCTAAAAACTGTTTTCTTCTCTAATAATGCAGTTTGTGGTTTTAGAAGAAAAAAAAAAATAGAAATCAATTTTGTCCGCAGTAAAATATCTTCCTACAAACCGGAATCTCTGTGTGCTTCATTATAAGATCAACACTGTGCCAGCTGTTAAAAGGGATGTCCACTGCCAAAATACTTTTTTCTTTTTAAATGATATACACGTTTGTATGAAGTGAGCCAACATGATGATTTATATTAAAATGTAATCCTTAAGCTGTCAGAAAATCATTGATCCACACCAGGTTAGCAAGGCTCACCTCTGCCACACTTCTAAGCTACTATTAAAGTCCAGGTACTGCTGGGGTCCTAATGAGACTCTTATTACTCAGCCTA